TAGTTGCCCCCCCCCCCCTACTCCACACCCGACTCCCCCCCTGTAAACCTCAAGCCCCAAAGATCATTCGGGAGAGGGGCAGGCTTCTACCCGCCTTGCGTTCCGCTCCCGCCACCGCCAGCTACTACCGTTTCCTGGCTTGGTAGTCTTTGGCCCACGCCACCATGTCGATGGGGTGCGACTCCGGGGTCGCCTCCAAGTCTTCCTTCCAGATCTTAACTGTCTTGTCGGCCTCGCAGGTCACGAGCCGGCTGCCGCTAACGTCGAAAGAAGAGGCAAAAATGCCCGCTTCGGCGTCTAGCGACCCCGGCTGCGCGATCGTGTCGATGCGCTGGAAGTTGTAGCCCGTGGCGTAGTCCCACAGGCAGAGGGACCCGTTGTCTCCGCCGCTCACCAGGACGCTGTCCTCGTTCACCGAGAGGGAGTTGATTATCGTGTTGTGCCCCGACATGTTGTTCAGGAACATGCCGTCTCGGCCCTTTGATGGGGGGGGCGGGGGACACGCAAGGTGGGAATGAGATGGGGGGTGGGTATAGCAGTGGCCTATCACACACCCAAGAACAAAACAGGGTGCATGATTATACATCCAGCACTCTTCTTCTAGAGCAACCCTTGAAGAGACTTCCGTACCCTGCAGACGTATAGAACAAACGGCACTGTCTCCAAACAGTCAGCAACAAAGGTGTCTAACCCACCGCTCGCAGCCTTGCATCCTACAAGGGGCATTCCAAATAAAAACGCGATATTATCTGAATGCCAAAGCTTCGGACAGCATGCTGCTCGTTGTTTCTCGCCGACCAAGGTGTAGCGCAACACGAAGCAACCCTACCTACGTCTTGCTTTTGAACGACATACTTTACAGTCGTTCCTCGTTAAGCCACAAGACAAATCACAACCATTTTCCCTCCTGAAATCAGTTTCTCCTACCTGCCACTTCTTCATGTTGTCGGCGGCCGCAGACACGAAGCTGAACTCCTTGGGGTGCATCTGCACGGCGCGAACCGCCTTCTTGTGGTGGGTCAGGGTTGTCATCGCCTTCCCTGCGACCAGGTCCCACAGCTTGATCTGGCAATCGTGCGACCCAGTGATCACCTGGAGGGAGCGGGCAAACACGGATTGAACGCGGATATCATCACTTGGTAATTGCTCGTGGTGTTGCTGGACACGCCCTGAAACAAATGAACAAGAAGCGGGGGGAGCTGCACTCAAACAACGCCCATCTGGGCGAAACGAAGGCCAGTACCTATGACAGCAATGACAACAGACAGGAACCTCAGCTGCATGGGCACGACAATATCGAACCAGCTTCAGGTTGGACAGCGGGGTCACGTCGTCCTCGTGCAAACCATCGACAAGACATTCTGACAACTGGTTTGGCAAGCACACCAATCATAAACCTGAGCCGAGTGCGAGCCCGCGAACAACACAGAACCGAAGGAAGACACCAGCAGGCGACATGATGAAACTTCACGCCACTGCCGTCCAGCAAGAACAACACCTTCGCGACGATATAAAATAGAGAGAGGGGGTTCCAATCCTAACCCTAACCCCAACCCCACACCGTACATCCCCGACCAAACCCAAGCTAAATCCTCGCGAAAGGTTGCTGTCCAGCCCAGCAGCAGCAGCAGCAGCAGCAGCAGCCAGACACCCACCCTTACCACACCCACTTTTCACACGAAAAACCGACACATGCCACACCCCGACCCTTCTTTGACACTCTCTCCGCAGCGCACCTGGGGGTCCACCGCGTTCGTCTGCACCGTGCCCACGGCGTTCGAGTGCCCGCCCAAGGCGTGGATCTGCTTCTTGGTTCTCATGTCCCAAACGCGCGCCACGCTGTCCCTCCCTCCGGTCACCAGCACGTCCAGCGTCGGGTGTAGGGACAGGCAGTGCACCCCGGACAGGTGGCCGTGGTAGTGCCTCACCACCCGGTTGTACTCCAGGTCCCAGCACATGACCTTCTTGTCCTCCGCCGCGGAGAACAGGTACGGGTGCCGGGGCGACACGGCCAGCCCGCGGATGCAGTTGATATGCCCCGTGAGGGTCAGCTTGAGGGCCTTCTCCGCCCCCGCCGACGCCTTCGCGAGGTCCCACACCTTGATCGTCCGGTCCGCGGAGCCCGTGACAAACCACTCGTTCGACGGGTCGAAGGCGATCGCTCTTACCCACCCCAGGTGCGCCGAGACCACGGAGGACAGCTTCCAGGGCGCGTGCCACTCCGGCCGCGGCGCCGAGGGCGCCGCTCTCCTCGAGACGACCAGCTGGTTCGCCACCCCCTTCCCTTCCCCGCCGCCCACCGACCCGGAGCTCGGGTTGAAGAGGACGAGGCTGCCGTCTGCGGCGGAGGCGCCGCCTCCCTTGGCCCGCCTCCGGTTCGCCTCCTGCTGCTGCCGCGCCTTGTCCATCTTCTCCTCGTCGATCCGCTGGATTATTCGAGTCACTTCCGTCTCGCGGGGCTTTTCTGCGGGCGGGGCCGGGGCCGCAGCAGTATCAGGAGCGCCGTTGGAGCCGTTGGCGGCGGCGGCTGTGTGCCCGATGCGGGCAGCGGCTGCGGAGGCGACGCCGTTGGGTGCGCCGTCCTTAACGGCGGCGTAGCCGGCGGCGATCTTGCTGGCCACCTTGATCTTTTGGCTGGTTTTGTTTGTTTAGCATACAAGCAGCGAGCGCGGCACCACGATTAAATGGTTAGGGATGGCAATGTGCCATTTTGTGGTGAGGGTGGGCTGAGTCGGGGTGGAAAACAACTCTGCTGTTGTGGGAGCTGCTGACGGTGCCGTGCGGACACCTGCGTGATCGCAGTCTTTGCTGGATCCGAAAACAACAATTACTTTACCTAATTTTAACACCACGCCAACAAGCTCTCTCGCTCACCTTGCCATGAACGTGGGAGGGGGTGCCCCCTCTTGCCCCACGAACATATCCAGCGTACGCTTGGTGCTCTTCATCAGCACAGTCTTGAGCGGCACAGCAGCAGCGGTGGAGGTATCATCGCCTCCTGGTCGCTGCACCTCTAGACCTAAGCTCGCCATTGTTGGTTGCCTGTTCTTCTTGCCCAGGTCTTGTCGCCGGACCCAACACCAGCTCGAGAAACTCAAAACTAGACAGCACCGACTTCAACTGGCACTCTCGGCTGCCACAGCTATGCAACGCGTGGCCCTCTACAGCAGTAGCAAGACAGACCACGGGCTCTCGTAACACAGCAGAACAACACAACAACACAACCAGGGTAAGGGGTGTCACAGAGTGTACTACAGAGAGGGTATGTGGGTAATGGAGAGAAGGCATTGGACGGGCCCCCCGGGAGAATGCGGGGGGAATCTGTTCCTTCGATTTGCTGTGATTGCTTCCATCGAAACAAAGAACTTGCCGCTCAGTACCCCGCCGACCCTTTTGCCTCCTCCCACCTCTCCTCCCCCCCAACAGCGCGCGTCTTGCCACAACCTGCTCATCCCCTTTCCCAAGTCACTGAATGCCTCTGAGGATCGGCGCTCTCTTCCTGGCTCTGCCTTCACGCGCGTTCCATAAACAGCTCTATTCAACGCGTTTCGGCGGCATCGCTGCAGCGTTTGCTTTCAGTTCAACAACATCACCGCTCACAGCAGCGGCAGCAGCATCGACACGCAGCAGCCCCGACTCCACCACTTCGTCACGCCAGTACTGCACTACCATGTCGT